TGCAATGATCTGGAAGTGCAAAACATGAGCAGTTCTGTCTTAGCAAGGTTGAGCTGATGGTCATTCAACATCCAGCAAGACATTTCTGTCCAGGAGGCAGAGATGCGAACAGTGACCGTTGGAACATCCAGCTGGAATGAAAGGAAGAGATGTGTGTCATTACAATAGCAGTAATATGAAAAGCCATGTTTCTGAATGACAGACCCATTGTCATGATATGTACATGGAGAGGAGAACTGTTCCAAGCACTGAGGCATACCAGTAGCAAGATGTTGCGACTTAGAAACCTCACCCTCCAAGACACCCTGAAGGACCTACCTGAGTTAAGACTTGAACCACTGGGGTGCAGTTCCTGAGACATGGGTTGACAGGACAATCAGGTGGATAACTGTGCCAAAAGCCGCAGACAGATCCAGCAAAATGAGTACTGATGACTTAGAAGCTGCTCTTGCAAGTCACAGAGCTTTAATAATCAAGAGCAGGGCAGTCTCAGTTCAGTGGTCACTTTTAAAACCAGACTAGTTACTGTCCAGGAGGTTGTTCTGTGTGAGAAAGCAGAGGTTGAACATGACTCATTCATTTTTATCAAATTAATACAATTGTCTGATAGTGTTTTATTGATACAATGTTTGTTTACATATGAAGAAATAGCATACTTAAAGGAGATTTTTTTTTTAACTCTAGGCCCAAATTACATGTTTTCATGGTCCCAGTTAACCCAAAAATTTATGTAAACTTTCTAAAATTTTCACTATCAATAACGATACCTCGACTTCGATACTGGTTCCTGATTTTTTCAAACTCTTAAACCCCTTGATGCCTCTCCACAAACAATCACCAGCACTTGATTTGGGCACATCAAGCATTCTGCATGCTTACTGTTTCACTGACGTTGAAGTATTAAATTTGGTATCGAACAAGACATTTTTTGAAACTCAATGGTTGAGGCAATTCGGTCAGTGGCTAAAAATTATCAGATACCCAGCCCTACCCAAAGGTGAAAATTCTATTATGTTTTACTTACCCTCATGCCTTCCAATATGTTTTTCTCTCTTCTGCAGATCACTTTTGGAGTTGTTTTTTGTTTTTTTTAGAAAGTTGTCCAAGATCTGTTGAGGCATAAAATGCATCTGAGTGGTTATACCAACATTTTGATGATCCAAAAATGTAATGTAGAAAGCATAACGGTAATCCATATGGTTCCAGTTAATGAAACAAAGCACTACGGTTTAACTATAAACTTTGGCTTCTGCTTAAAATGAGAATGACTGTTGTTACAATACATATTGTAGATTTATTTATAAGTGCTTCCCCTCATAAAATTCACAGATATCATTTCATGCAACTGTTTTACACTGATTTTGGTTTTAAATGGTCCTTGGTTTATTTATTTACCCCTTACCTCATAAGAACTGAAAATTCTACACAAAGAAGAACCATTAAAGAAAGAAAGAAAGCTGCATGAAAAGAAAGTACAGAATTTGTTGTATAATCATATGGCATTAGAACACTTGTCTATGCTGATTCCAGATTTAAATAATAATAATAATAATAATAACAAAAGTTGACTTGTTCCACACCTGAATTGCCATGCTTATCTGCTGTAGATCTCCACAGTCTTTCCACATGGCCTGAAACCAAAAAAACGCTTTTTAATACTTTGTATTACATCCACACATTACAGCCTATGTTCCACTGAGACAATGATCTGGAAGCCGAGCAGGGGGCTGTTTCATAAAACTAGTTTACCAAATAAGCCAGGCTTATTTCAGTTAGTCTGACTTATTTTGAACCAAATCAACTGACAGGAAGTCAGACTAACTGAAATAAACCTGGCTTATTTGGTAAACTTGTTTTATGAAACAGCCCCCTAGAAAGGTTAACAGTGATGTTTTGGTCCGCCATGTGATTTTAACTAAATTTATAGAAAGTGAATTTATATTATTTACTTTGACTTAGCTGCATCATATTACTACCTAGGGGTGAACCTGTCCAGGGTAGATGCAATTTTCATAATCAACGACCCAATATGTAACGACAGTTTACTCATCCTCAGGCTTTAAGATGTAGGTTTCATTCCTCATCAGAACACAAAGATTATATCAATTATTACTTATAAGATTAACATATGCACTTATACACGCATAATATGTGTAGGTGAGCAAATGCGCCCAGAATGTGAATTGTAAGGGAAACAGGTCAATTTAGCTCAAAGGGAATCATTTATGATTTTATAGGGAATTTGGACAGAATCACTGTTTTACGGCTGATCACGGTGTCGGTCAGCGATTCATTGAACGAGCCGCATAACATCAATTCTGCAATGGATATTAATATCCAAAGTATAGTGAAAACACTATTTATTAGCACAGTAACAAGATCGGCAGTTTAAGACATTAACTTGTAAGCAAAAAACACAAGATACTTCCTCTTTTCAATATCAATAAGACTTTATTGGATAAATCTGAAACATTTAAACTAGTCTAACACAAACACACGTACTCACACATTCACACAAGTTGCAGGAAGAGAGAAAGTGAGGAACAAATTAGTTTAAAAGAATGAAAATGTGAAATCCCAAGTTTACAGCAATATGTGCAATTGCATAGACCTGAACAACCATAAATCACTTAATTAACCCTCGCATTGAGTTTAAAATTAGGTTAAGATTTATATTAAATGCACCAGTTCAGCTCAGCTAGAACCTGGAGATTGTACTTGAGTTGCCTTAGTGTTAAGCGGAGTTGTGGACTGGTTGAAATTTTGAAGCGTTCAGTCACAGACTCGAGGTGAACTCGGAGACAAAACTTAACTCAGAACACGAAACTCTCAACGGAAAAGAACATAAATTAAAGTAGAAAAATAGAAGTAACAAGACTAGATGGTTTTCTTCCCATCGTGGCTAAGTAGCAGCGGGCATGCAGGCCGAAGCATGCTGGAACGGCACTCAACGAATTCACGGGCAAAAAGAATGGCTAAAAAAAGCAGTGGCTAAAAGCGATGACTAAAAGCTAGAAGCATAATTTGATGGTGTCCTGAGTATTTAAACTGGGCTGTTGG